GAAATCTCACTACTGCTTTTAGAAAGAAATTATTTTTGATATGTTTACAAATCTGAATATCCTTTAATAACTGACATTTCAGAACTTTTCTGATGATCCAACAAATGCAAGGTTTTGGTGATTTGGAGTGGTCTTATACAATTGAAGAAACAAAATAATTCTTCTATAAGACAACATACCCCGCTCGCACTATCGCATATTAATGTTCAGGAAACCGTGAAATTTTGCTTACAAACCTACTAAGTCATAAATATTACACAGTTCACTGACTGATGAAAATATGTACTAAGATTCAAGTTGATATGACCATAAACTACTATATAAACAAAGACTTTAACCTATCTCATTTATAAATGTGTTACAGTCCATTTCATAACGAACATGCATGTGAAATAGGATTCAAGTTGACGTGACCACAAAATATCCTAAACCAAAATTTCGACCAACAACTTAAACCAAATGTTGAAGCTGATATAAAACGGATTGACGGACAAACGGACTAACGGGTTGTTGCCGGACGCACGCGCAGACTGGCCACGGAAATCAAAATGCTCCTCTAATATATCGTACGCGGGTATAACAAATTGATTTTGCATAGATATACAATAATTGTCGCAGGTAACCTCTCATTAGTTCAGATATCCTGTTAGTTATGATAGAACTGTTCATCTGATTATATTGAATAACAAATGTTAAAAACTGTCATGTAATTTGTGCTAATGATGTTGTATTTGGAAGTTTGAAATTACCTTCTTTTAGACTGTAACAACTGTGCCAATAATTTGGATGAATATATTCATAAAAGAGGGACGAAAGATATCAGAGGGACAGTCACACTCATAGATCGAAAACAAACTGACAACGCCATGGCCAAAAATAAAAAGACAAACAGACAAATAATAGTACAGATGACACAACATAGAAAACTAAAGACTAAGCAACACGAACCCCACCAAAAACTGGGGGTGATCTCAGGTGCTCCGGAAGGGTAAGCAGATCCTGCTCCACATGTGGCATAAATAACATGAGATTGAAAATGTGCCTCTGTTGCAGTACGATTGGTACCATGAATATTATTAGAAAATTTGGCGTTTGTGTATTTTCAGCAAAGTACATAAGTGAATTTACAGGTCATTGTCATACTTTTCACCAAAATCCGGGACAACTAGGGAAGAAAACCCTGATGTTTTAGCTGTAATACTCTTTCACAATGTATAATGCTGAATTTTAAGTGAAATAGATAGTCATGAAGACGTCGTTTGTGCTCTTAACTGTAATTATTTAAAAGTAGTTTCAAAATCATGAATAAAACTGATCTACTTGCGAAATATGAGTTAAATAATTTGATCCCGTGTAATATTTTGCGAAAAAAAAAATAGGCAGATTCATGCGAAAAAAAACCAAGATCCCAATCAGACACAATACCTACTGCGATCGTGCTTTGTAGGATGTTTATGAATTTTTGTTATCGAATACAAAAAATAGAGACTTTCGTCATCTTTTTTTTTATGTAAGCACTGAATGGGAAAAGGATGGGTTCGTATTTTCCTCAATTTTTAAACTCATGTATGAATAATGTGAAAGAGGAATTGCTAGAAATGCTCTGAATTCCTAGTTCTTTCTTTAAGCAATCTTGATAACGATGTTTTATATAAAACGATTTTTCTAGAGACTTGTCAACTGAATCAATCGAACAACATGTTTTCCTTGAAGAGATAATTAAAGCATTCACAGTCTCAGGCTTGGCATTTGTTCTCGTTTTCGAAAGACATTCCTGTTTTTGGTAATACGAATTTGTAATAGATGATTAATTAATGTTTATCAACCTTTAGCGTATATCTCATCTTATTTAATATAGGTATCGGTAGTTTACAGATGTATCGATTTAGAAGACAAATCAAGGCAACAAACAAAAAAACTAAAGGGAATCGCATGAACTCCAAATAAGCGCGAGACCGGAAGCATCGATAGGATAAGTCTCCTAGCTGCTACATATATGCATGCATCTCCCGCCGCTCAGTCATACTGTCGCAATTGTTAATAGGACACAATCAGTAAAATCACAGAGCAGACGACTATTCAGCTGGTGTCTTAAGGATGTTCGCTACTCTTGTTTTTGTCTTTTTGTCAAATATTCGGAATCCTCTAGTTTTATCCATGTTAGTGCCAATAAATTTTTTGCTCGCTAACCCCTATTTTTCTTTTCATAATCTTATTACATATAGTTTATATAGCCATATTTGAAAATGCTATAAAATCCTTGTTATTTTTCATAATTTTTTAAAGAAAAAGAGTGCCAATATTAAATGTATGAAAAGTCTAGAGAGAATTATTTCCCGCCAAATTTTCAATGGCTTAATTATATCTCGAAAACAAGCACACAGACCCTTAATTTTTTTCTGCTTTTTTAGTTCCTTTATTTATATACTATCAATTTATAACAGTCTTTTAAAAAGCTTGTTATTTTGAAACAGAATAGCAAACATCCTTAAGATCTAAGACGGCGTACACATATCGCTAGTGAGGTAAGACACAGGCATATTGATCGTATCGGTCAACCAATTCGTGATGGTGACCATAATACTTATGTAGTGGCGACTTCAGTCGTTCTTCCTCATAAATCTGTTGGAGCTGATTTTGTGTAATGAGCACATCCTGCTGATGAAATTCATATGTGTGAACATGCACGAGCGTAACTATCAATTGAGATGAGTGAACGTCATACACGTTTTTTTTATCAATTGTAAGTTGCTTTGAACTAACTTTCAGTAACTTTGAGGACTCTCAGATGTTTATTTTGTGTCCTCAGTTCTTTTGTTATGCTTCAGTCATACCAAACTAGTTCCCAAAACGTCTGAAGCTGTTCTAAAAAACGTAATATTGTTAGTTTTCTGGCTAGAACCTGTTGTTTTGGCTGGACAGTGCCTTTAAACGACAGTAGTTGGTTCTTAAACAGTTCTTGATAAACCCATCTTGTCTTTAACCCATTTAATGTCAGCTTTTATCCAGTTAATTCAGATCGGGTGAAATTGCTCGTTCAGCAAATGGGGACACCGTGTTCAAGCAGTCCGTTTAAACCGGTTCGTAACCAGCTCTTTTTCGTTCCTTATACGTTGAAATCCTTTCTAGCTAGTTCCGACCTCGACCACCTCGTTCACAGACATTTCAACGTGTTCTGACTACGTCATCATTTCGTCCCTAGTGTGTTCAGAAACGTAATTGTCAACACGTCCTGGCCATAATAAAAACCCAGCACGTCTCTGCCAGTCCTCATTCTCGTGCACAGCTTCAAACGTTCAAGAAGATGTTCAAACATGGGTGAGATGATTCTCAAACAATTGTAGAAGGACTCTTTATCATCCAAGCTGATGATAATGCCATATTGCTTATCTTCTCTCTGATTTAAACCAGTTCCTCAAGTATGATTTCAAAACAAATGTAATGAAACCAACATTCAACATGTTAAGAGCAGTAAGGTTATTCAAGTTTCTGACAATATAAGTAACAAATGATGTACCAGTGAGAAAACGGCATCTTTTTATATCAAACCTTTTCTGATTGTAAGAACTGTATAAGAACGCAATAAACATACTGTAAACGAGTAGAGCGTACTGAGAACCTACTGCGAACTATGAGATCTGTGTAGAAACGTGTTGCCAACTTGTCCAGAACGTGTTATTTTGTTTTGATCGTATTTAGACAGAATAAAGACGCACAACGAACCTAATGAGGTCGATTTGGGTCTGCGCGTGAACGGGATGAACTTGCTGCAAACGGACTGTGTGAACACGTAGATCCAATGGATGCCCGACTACACCACGTCATAACACGTTCCTAGTACGTTCCAAGTACGGCCATTCCGTTCGTACCTGTAATACGTCCATCTCGTTTTAAGTACGTTGCCACTCCTAGTTGTAGGACGGGATGGTCGCCCGACAATTTTGAGCAGGTTAAAATTTCTGGAGCATCATTCCCGATCAAACCCATCCACAAGTTCATGAACAGACCGTAAAAAGTTGCTACTACGTCCATTCCGTTTGCACATAGTATAAACGGGTTCGGCTACATTTTTCTGAACGTAATGAGAAAGAGTTCTGTGTGACGGGGGCATTGGTTGTTAATTTTCTCTATGTGCTTTGTATAGATCTAATGAGTCAAACATTTTTAACTGCGTTTAATAGTTTATTCTAATGTTGTGCTGTTACACTTCTGTCCGAGGTTTGGGAGAGGTTGAGGCTCCGGTAAACATGTTTAACCCGCCACATTCTGTATGTGCCTATCTGAAGTCAGGAGCCTGTAATTTAGTGATTGTCGTTTGATGTTTTATATCATATCATATTTATTTTTTGTTTGTTGTTTTGTACATAGTAAATGTTCTCGTTTGAATTGTTTTACATTTTTTATGTTAAGCGGAATGGGCTGTGTTCGTTGTTGAAGGCCGTACTGTGACCTATAGTTGCTATTTTTACGTAATTTGGTCTCTGCTTGAATGTTGTCCCATGTGCAATCATACCACTTCTTATTTTTATGAAGTATAAAATTGAGAATGGAAATGGGGAATGTGTCAAAGAGACAACAACCCGACCATAGAACAGACAACAGCAGAAGGTCACCAACAGGTCTTCAATGCAGCGAGAAATTCCCGCACCCGGAGGCGTCCTTCAGCTGGCCCCTAAACAAATATATATACTAGTTCAGTGATAATGAACGCCATGCTAAACTCCAAATTGTACACAAGAAACTAAAATTAAAAATAATACAAAACTAACAAAGGCTAGAGGCTCCTGACTTGGGACAGGCGCAAAAATGCGGCGGGGTTAAACATGTTTATGAGATCTCAACCCTCCCCCTATACCTCTAGCCAATGTAGAAAAGTAAACGCATAACAATACGCACATTAAAATTCAGTTCAAGAGAAGTCCGAGTCTGATGTCAGAAGATGTAACCAAAGAAAATAAACAAAATGACAATATTATCAGATAATAAGTGAAACAAAAACCAAGGATAATTGTAATTTTAATTAATTTAAAAAGACTTATTAGATAACAAGAGACAATAATAATAATAAAAAAAACAATAGTCGAAGAAACTTTACTGTCAAAATAAAAAGTCAAAAAGACAAATTAAAAGTCCGTAGAATATGATACAGTAAACAAATTAAACGTATTTGAAAATGAGGGTGCAATCAGGTGCTCCTTCTTACTTGTTGCCACGTAAAACAAATTTACTCTTCAAAGTCGAAGGCTTAGTGAATTGTAAAGCAATACGTGACCAAACTATAAAGTTATGTTTAATTATGAAATGTATATATTTTAGTATTTGAGCTATTATAGATATGAATAAAATGAGACGTTGGATGTATAAATCAACGAGACAGCAACATAAAGACGTATGCAAACAAAATACAACAGGGATCAATATTATTATATTGAATATATATGTTTATAATAATTAGTTTTACTTTATGTCTGTTTCTTTGATCTTTAGATAACAGTAAAAAAAATCAAAACGCTTTCAAAGTCAAAATAAAAATATAAAAAAGTTTTGACTATTGAAAGAAAATTGTTAGTGTATAATTGTCATCATTAAATGCAATTAACAAATATCTTTGCTATAAACCAATTTAACATATGTTAGCACAAAATCAACCACTGTATAGTTAATCAAGTGTTTAAAAACCAAACTATATTATTTCAAGGCAAACAATGTACATGTATTATCAAGTTTATCTGTTAAAAGATATATCGTACAATTTATAACGACATAAAACTAATCTATGTAACATAAAGGTAAAGACAAAGTAGTAAATTGTGTAGCGCTGTTAAACTCTTGGAGGACCTTGTGGTTCAGATTGATGTTCTTCTCCCTGTGGTTGCTGGACATTTGGTCCCGGCTGGTGTCTGCCTTTAAACATCTGGATGGTATTTGAAAGAGAGAAAAAAATAGTTAAATGTATTTTATATCAAAAGAATGTAAAAAATAAAAAATAAATCTCCATTGTGGTTACAGAATACTAATTCTATTACATATGGGTTCCAGTTGCTCATCTAAAGTGAACCGGAGACAATTCTAGTTTTTCTATTTAGACTCTTTGATTGTTATATATGCTCTTCGACGTTTTGTATGTTTTGCTTAACAGGGCTCTTGGCTTGGTCATAAAACTTTACTCAGTACTCGGAGTACAAAATTTGTGCTCAAAACACCAAAGCCAGTTTTGGTTGGTTGATTTCTGAGTACGATTATTGCTCGAAATTTTTATAATCGCAAGGCCAGACTCTTTCTATCGAGCCTACCTAATGTTAATGAAATATCTTTTATGGTTTCTGCTCAATTCATTCATAATTTTATAGATTCGGGACGATATAGAGCTTAATGTATTGTATGAACATCTGTCTATTATTGAAGACTGTATGTTGCCTTTTTGTGTCTACTGTATATTTGTGTCGTTGGCTTACTGGTGTTTCTGTTGTGTCGTAGTTCTCCTCTTATATTTGATGTGTTTCCCTCAGTTTTAGTTTGTAACCCGGATTTGTTTTTTTCTCAATCGATTTATGAATTTCGAACAGCGGTATACTACTGTTGCCTTTATTTATCATACATCTCAATTTGATCATACTGATAAATATTATCACAGAAACACATTTTGTGCCCAAGAAAACCTTTTTGTTTTTTTAAGGACTATAATAGTATACACATGACGTATCAGTATTTTTGATAGTCAAATACATTTTCAAACATTGTGTATATATGAAAGAAATACTCACATTATATAGAATGCCTGCTCGGTTTTGTGAATTGTCTGGGGCTTTAGTTTGATCCTCGCCCTAGAATGAGTATGAGAACGAGTAGGAGTGAACATTATACATAATACTTTCCAAAAGAACAAATTTGAATTAAAAAGTTTGTTCAGTGTTATTACAATAGTAAAAGCGTTTGTCTATGTGTAACTTTCACCAAAGCACTAAACAAATCCACAAACGGAATAAAAAGGTTCATGGGGATATCTGGAAACCCATAAATTACCAGATGATTGAATTCATACGCAATTGTATAAACGCATATTACATATAAATATATAGCATTCTAATTAAGGTCAACCGGGTACAGTAAATGGGCTATGTCACAGACTTTGGTATAAATTTGCATATATTTTTGACTAGCTGCACTTTAACGGAAAATCGAGAAGAAAAAAAAGATGCATTCATCTCTTTTATTTCCTGAAATATTGCTAAAACTTCGTAGCTATGGTTAAATTATTCAGCTTCATGTTTCGTTCCGAGCGGTGACTTTTATAAAAAGCACACGAAAACTGGTGCATATACACCTTTGGGGTTCTACATTCCTCTAGAGGGTTTATTGAAGAAAGCGGTTCAAAGAAATGAGATAGTTTAGTATTTTTAACGTTTTTTAAAAAAAATATCTAGGGAAAATGTTTTGTCGGTTGAAGAAAGATGAATAGTTGATAAAAATAAGGACATGTTATATGATTGCCAATAAGACAAGTATCATCCAGAGACCAATTGATGTGAACGTAAGCAACAATAGGACATCGTAAGGCCTTTAACAATGACATATATTTTTCCAATATTTTTCCAATAACATTTAATTGGTTGACGATTTGACGCTACACACAGACATTTGGTAGAAGAAATCATACTGTAACTGATCCAAATCAATAGTTTTTTGAGGGGGGAATATATTCAAACAAAACCCCATATTTATTGAGAGAGAGAGAGAGAGAAAACAAGTGCCATGCATGTATTGTCAGTTTTGTATTTCAAGAGTTCAAAATATAATAGTTAGCTTTAAGGGACAAAGAGCATATGTTCTATTATTGCTAATGTTCCCCTGTACAAATTATTTATATGTATTAAAAAATGTATTCGACATTTAATTTTCACGTGGACCTTCTGAATACAAAATCCACCTGCCGATATCTTACATTTGAACAATTTTCATCAAAATGAAACAATCGAAAGTCAATTTACCATCCAGCGACGACCATATGTTTACATTTTTTTCGGGGATCATTATAAGGAGATGTAGTATAATTGCAAATTTGACAATTATCAGCAAGAGACAAAAAGACGTGAATATAAGCAACTATAGGTCACTGTAGGATCTCCAACAATGAAAAAAGCCCATGTATTCCACCGACATGCAATAAACTTTAAGAGGCTTCAACATTGGCCCAACAAGATATGGAACAATTCAAACGACAAAACGAACGGCCTGGTTTACAATAAACAATAAACGAAAAATAGAATTATGACAAACGGCAACCAACGCCATGCATTGAATTGCATACTCCTTACTTGGATAAGGCCTACTCATTGTACTGTCATGTTGATCACGATTTCTAATTCAAAAGCAAAACATCTTTGAAAGCATATTATTATTAAGATTGATACAAAAATATAAGAATTTACGTTTTAACCTCTAATGAGAACTATGCGGTTCAGCAAAAACATTTGCGGATTCAGAATTTCTAAAAGGGATTGAAGAAGCTTACCAAAAAATAAAGAGACAGCAGTCCAAAATCTGAAAAACGTTAAAAAACATTTACGCCCGTGAAGGTGACCGGCCCTTCCAGGATCGGTCATAGAAATTTACTTACCGTCTCTACTTCAACTTTATGCCAATCGGTTTCTTCTACGTGATCACGTGGTAACTGTAAAAATATGAATTTGTTCATCAATAAAATATTCTTTTATTTTAAATATATTTTTACTATGGATTGATGTAAGCCTAATCGGTGTAACTATTGGCGTCAAAGATAAAGCATTTAAGAATATATAGTCAGGCAATTTAAGTTTAATTGTTTGCATTGATATGTATTATTATGCTTATTGTATCATTAAGTATTGGTTAAACTCCCTGAGGCAAAGATGACCATATATGGTTTGAGTAGTTCTTTCACGACTCCTTTTGGTCATCCCCCGTGAATTTATATTTACACCTTAATCGTTGATCGACGGTTGACCATCACAAAGTTAAGTCCAGAAATGTCCATCAAACTTCGAAACCAATGTGTTGCACTTTGATGTAAAAGACATAACATGTAACAAGCAGAATTGCACTTTGATTTAGAGAAATACCATGTAGTTAGCAGAAAGGGACAATTTTTCTTCTGATTTTAAAAACATTAGTAGGACATTACATGCAGCATTGAATACTGTGCTCAATTGAGAATTTTTTTTCTTATTAATAGCACACGATAAGACAATTTCTAACATATTTAGCTTTGGATGGTTTTGGTCCCCAAAATTCCAGAGGTTTAAGGCCGTACGGTGATCTATAATAGTTAATCTTCTACGTCATTTGGTCTTTGGTGGAGAGCTGTCTCATTGGCAATTATACCACATCTTATTTTTATAACGACAGTGAGTACCATTATTCCTGAAATATGTAGACTGAGTTATGATAGGACAAACATTTTTAGTGGATATTGGATAAAAAAAAATGATTTTCCGTTGGATTTCAATGGAAACTATGTACCACAAATCACGTTATTTTAGCAACCCAATCAATATTAATGAAAAGAGTGTGTAAAGGATCTTCAAATAATCAACATACAAGGTTTCAAAAACTACATCAGTCCTTTTATTTTACGTTACTTTTTAAAAAAACAATCATCTAAATACACATTTAGTTGACAAAATATAATTTTTAAATTCTTGATATTTCTACAACACCTTTTCTGTATGGGGGAACAATCCTTTTATCCCAGAAATTTAATATGACAAATCCAGAAAAAAAGTGGATTACTCTTTCTTATAGTTTCAAAAAATAAGCTGACGCACCTATCAATGTTTTTTCTATGTTTTGATGTTTTGCATTTTCTCCCGAACAAATAATTCAATTCCGTTTGATGAAAACGTTGTTAATTTTGGATTTCAGTAGAGGACATCCGTACGAAAGGAATCTTAATGAGGGACTACATATTTACATATTTGTATTTTTACATACTTGTGTGTTCTTCGATCTTATTTCAGCTGATCCTCCCTGGAGGGGGATATACTCTCCATGTTCATCTGTAACACAATTTTATGTCATTGAGTAATTCATTGATCATATTCCTTAGTAATACTATTTTGTTTACTGGTCAAAGGTTTATATTTCCGAGTTAAGATTTAGAGAATGTTGGATTTACAGTTTTACAGTGTATAGATATAAGAAGATGTGGTATGAGTGCAAATGAGACAACTCTCCATCCAAGTCAAAATTAGTTCTTTTTGTGTTTGCTATTTTTATGTTATGTGTGTTTGCGGATGCATTTGTATTCTTAAGCAGAATTATATCCTTTTTATCACTACCATTAGCGACAACAAAATACACAACTTACGCACTAAAAGTTGCATTTACAATACATGTACTACCTGTAGCAGGTATAATACAGAATCTATAATGATTTTTAATTACCTGTTATTAACATCAGAAAGCAAAAAGAATTCGTATACCACCAATAAAAAACGTTGTCATGATGATCGTAGTGAAAATTAGAATACAGTTTAAAATGCAGTATGGATTTAGATATTAGTTTTTAGGAATTTTGGTTATCTAAGTTTGTGTTGTTTGGGTGCTTGGTTGCTGTCTATAATTAAACCTCGTATCTCTTTTTATTCATATAATGAAGAGACGTTCGTAATCAATACTATTGAAACATACTGACTAATCCCAGGGGTCCTCTGGGGTCTGAAACTAAAAAAAATAACATCGGTAATATTTAGATCTGTCTAACAATATACATAAAGTATTGCTGTCTACCATTACAAATTAGATTTGTGGATGTTGTTTTATTTCAATTTGACGTATTTCATCATCATACATATATTGCATGTATTTAAAATCATTTGACAATAATTATATACACACCCTATCTAAAAAAGCAGAAATAGATAACTTCTATAAGGGAGCTACCATTTGATTTTTATGGGGGGGCTAGGATGAAAAATTTTGTCCTGCCTTTTTATTTTTCACTCTATTCGGTCCTGCCTTTTTTTTTTTTAAGTTTATCCTGACTTTTTTTTACATAAATTGTCATCCTGCCTTTTTTTTTGAAAATAATCTCATCCTGCCTTTTTTTTTACTCAAAACTCCTGTCCTGCCTATTTTTGTCAAATTTCATCCTAGCCCCCCCATAAAAATCAAATGGTAGCTCCCTAAAAGATATATGACAAATTTAATTATGTGCATTGTACATTGTATGACCGCAAAATTATGTCAACTAACTTTCACTATTTTTGTTTGTAGTGGACATTCCAGAAACCAAAAGGATAATAAGTAACTGTGTATATGCACGTATACATTTAAAACTAAAATGTCAATATTTTTTTCGGTTTGCTTATGTGCATTATATGTACCCATACTTACATATATGCTTTGCATTCGCTTCTTCTATGTCATCAACTAGAATGAAAACAATTAAACTTTATTAACAGAAAGTGAAACAGCAATAACTACCTGTTTTACAGAGATAAATAGGATTTAGAAACAGCAATAACTGCCTGTTTTACAGAGATAACTATGATTTACCTATTGTGCAATAAAAACACACCTTACGGCATGCAACTTCTATCTTGGTTGACCAACTTTGTATAAGACCTATTTGCGTTCCTCCTCAATACGCATGATACCTTTGTCATTGAACGTTAAGCAAACAGCGCCTATCAATCATCTTGAAGCATATGATTTTGGAAAAACTTTATTGATATAATCCAAGAGGTGCACAACTGTCAGAAACAAACACATTCAAAGAGAGACAATACATACAATGTTTTTAGACAGCTCTGGCTGGACATTGTCAAGGAAGTTACACACTACTGAAAAGAAAGCCGTTGGTCATCTATTTTCATCAATATTTTCTTTTGTTTCAAATACAATTTTGTAACGACTATTTTCTTAATCCATGAAGCATGTTAAGGCCTAAAATGGATGAAAAATATGTACAAAAAGATTAATTACATACCTTGCACGAGTTGGCCAAAATCTGAAAAAGATAATGAAAATATTTCAATCCTTAATTGATTTTATGTCTTACTCGGTCCACCCACTTCTGAAACATTAGACAATCGTTATCATCATATAATATCTTTTATTTAAATAATTGTAACAAAAAAATTGACATTCATACTAATATGCTATAAGTACTGTAACACAAATTATATAATATTTACCTGGATTTGGCGGGAAAACCAGTTGAGATCCAGGGGTCCCAATGCTTCCAGGAGCACCTCCATGTGGCTGTAAATCTAAATTTTGAATATGTGGACAATATTAATTTTACAAAGTTTACAGTTTTTCAACTCATAAATGTATATTTTGCAAAATTTAATTTCTTTGTTCAAAAAAAGTTACCAGCAATCTACAATTAAAGGTAAGAGATGTAATTACAAGGAAAAGAATAATAATAAAAAAATTAAAAACCTGTTGATATGTTGGAACATCAAAACAATAATAAAAGAAAACAACAGTGATCACAAATTATGTTATAAAAACTTTTGAGCAGTTGGAAGGATGTTCTTGTTAGTAATCAATTAATAAGCGTTCAAGTAAGAAGTTTTGACATCTACGCACGTGGCTCGCTTCCTGGTGGACCAGCGCCATCACAACCTGTAATATACAAAAACAAATGTGTTATCGCTAAAATAGTTTGATTTAGATAATCAAATCACAACATTAAAATATAGTTTGCTGTATAAGACAGGTTATATTGACTAGTTTGATTGAAAATTTAATCTGAAATATGGTGGTCTAGATGAGGTTTACAGAATAAAGAATAATGCCCCCTCCCTCCCCCCCCCCAAAAAAAAAGAGGGCAAAGAAAAAATATTGTGGCTCTAAAATACAAAGAAAAGAGCACATCCTAAATTTTACGGTGATGTTGTAAACCGAATCCAGAAATTTAGATACGATCCGGGTAAACTTATCAATCCTTTAAATAAACTTATTCTAAAAGGTTACCTATTCAACACTGTAATTAAATCTTTGAAAATTGTTTTATTGGTATAGATATTGATTTTTTTATCAGTAAGTTAAAACCATTCTAAATATTACACATATGTACTTTCGCGGTACTACAATCTGTCGATCCCTATAGTTTGACATTGCACAAGGTCATGTTTTTCTGTGACTGTTAATGACGTCTTTACGCTAAATCCATTGGATGTTGGATGTGTACTGATTGATATTTGAGTCTTAGATACATAATTCTTTTTTAATTAGTTGGTATTGGCCTTGAACTAGCTGTCAGTAACTGCGAGTACTCTCAGATCTGTACTTAGTGTCTTTTTGTTGTGGGGATGTATAAGTACCCGTCCACGTCCACTCTGTGTTTTTGTTAGATGTATTTCTATTTGTATCCATCTGATGAGTTAAACCTTTTTCAACTGATTTTATGGTTTGTTCTTATGTTGTATTGTTACACCACTGTCGCAGATTAGGGGGAGGGTTGAGCGCTCACAAACATGTTTTACCCCGCCACATTCTTTATGTACCAGTCCCAAGTCAGGAGCCTGTAGTTCAGTGGTTGTCGTTGGTTCATGTCTGTCCTATTTGCTTTTCGTAAATTGTTTTGTTATAAATTAGGCCGTTAGTTTTTCTCAATTGTTTCATATTTTTCATGTCGGGGCCTTTTATAGCCGACCATACGGTTACCTATAATTGCTTACATCCACTACATTTGAACTTTGGTGGATAGTTGTCTCATTGGGAATCATACCACATCTCCTTATTTTTTTTTATAATAATCATAGTAAACAAATAAAGAATATAAAAATGATGATATCACCATTAGGACCCTCATATATCTTTCAAAGAAGCAATAACACTAGGTTTAGAATATGATAATCCAATATAAATAAGAAGATGTGGTATGAGTGCCAATGAGACAACTCTCCATCCAAGTCATAAAGTATAAAAATTAAACAATTAATATCCTGCAGAATTCATGATTTGTACATCCTTCTTGCACAATTTTCTTTAATTCATAAATATTAAATCATTTTCAAAATTTATTAAAAAAGTAAAGTTTTCAACTATCTTTAGGCGTTCACAATTTCATAATATGTTTAATAATTTTAGATTGTGAAAGTCAACACACAAAGCTGGGGTGCCGTGAGTTTTTGTTTAGATTTAAGGACTTTTTTTTTTAGAATGGTCCTCGTGTGAAATAAAAAAAGGATGAATCTCCACACATTATTTTTACCGAATCGGCCATAACTTGAGCAGCTACATATATCAATATAAAGAGATGTGGTATGATTGCCAATGAAACAACTATCACTACAGACGAAAGAACTGATATGAAGCAATGTAAAAATTCGTTTCAGTATTTCATTCTATCTCTTTAATGCAAGAAGGTTTGGGTATATTCTCGATCATGGATAAAAGATACGCTAATGAGACTGTAGCTATGGTTGGTGATGATGACTGGCGGCTTAACGTCCAGCGGCAAATTAGTATGAATATTCAGGACGAGAACATGTTAATGTTATATAAATATTTACCCTGTTTAGTACTAGACCAAAACGCTGAGCCGGATTTCTTAACGTGCTAGTTCTCAAGGTAACAGTCCGCATTAAGACTTGTCACCTTACTCGGACACATTATTCTGAAACCGAGCCGACCAGTCTTTGCTCTTACTCCTTAAGAAGATGCAAATACCAATTTTAAAGTCTTTGGTTTGACCCGGCCGGGGTTCGAACCCACGACATCCCGCACTCGAGGAGAAAACTCTACCACGAGACCACTGAGGCTGTTTTGTAGTTATGGCTTTGTCAGTATAACTTGTATGTCTTCAAGAAAAAAAAACATGTCTGTTTCTTTTCAAAATGTAGGTTTTATTAAAACAAAATCCTACGCACATGATTGTTTTGATATACCTGAATTTATGTCTAAAGGGGTTCTTTTTATTGATTGTTTATTTTTGTGTTTTGTATTTCTTGTTGTTTATATCAAATTTTATTTCAATCTGATTTGTCTTTGTGATTTATGAAAAGTTCTAGTATTTACAATCTACGAAATAAACAGTTAAAGTATGAACAGTGCTCCCACAATAATGTTATACCAATACTACTACGTGCTTTCGTGTATTAAGCTATATTATTAGGCGCGAGACTAATACTACCAACCTTGCTTGACACAAATTCGACTGTGTACTTTAGTACGTGCCTGAAACTTGTAATAACGGAATAATGTTACCGCCAAAACTTTACATGCACGTAAACAGTATGCGCTACATGTACCATATATGGAACTAAATTATACAAACCAATAGTCTTGGAGCTTAATAAGATATACTGTAAAACTATACTCACGTATTCCATAAACTAGCTGTAAATAAAACCAAAAGTGCAGTGTTACTTATAATTAACTTCTGGTGGTTTTACTATTGTAATTTCAAAAGTAAGAGGGGTATGAAGCCTCCAAGATGACACTGTGCGTATACCATAAAGACACCATAGATATTTATATAATTGTGTTAATATTTGCCCCAAATTGAAAACAATATGTAATCTATAAAATATAAACTGATGATTAAAAATACAAAACAACATAAAAAAAAAAAATCACGCATTTGTACACAAAACGCCTCCACCCCCTCCCCCGCAAAAAAAAAAATTAACTGGGGAAAACAAAACTATATTTAAATTACTTTATTTACTGAAGGTGTGCTGATTTTGGACAGACTTGCGAAGTATTTGGTTTGCGTATAATTAGTTTCCAGGTACTGAACTACCCCTGCTCCCTTATTTCCCGTGATCTCTTGGTCACTGCTTGAAGATAATACAAACAAAAAAAACACTCCCACACAAACCAAGAAAAAATGAACAATCAAACTAGAAAAACTGTAAACGAGAAAGCATCTCTAAATATTCTGATTATATTAGTATTTTTCTAAAGCATCTACGCAACTAAATAAAAAAATATCTAATTTAAGCAATGCTGAATTTCGACCTGAGTGAGTTTCATGTAGTTTTGTTTTTTAAAAATTTGTTTGCGAGAAAGAAGAAAAGTGTGACCGACAACGCAGAACTCTAACAAAATTGATAGACATAGAATGGTGCCCTAAATAAAGCAGTGCGATCATTCATAACTAAATATACAGATTCTTAAATAAACAAGAACACATGATTTTTATAATTTAATATTAAATATAATGGAGAAGAAAACACAACGACTTACTACTTATTCAGTACAATACAATTAATGTTCTAGTTTTTGAATATCTCTAACTGGGGAGACAACTCATACTCCAAAGTAGCAGTGGCTAATAAATTAGTGATGCACATGACTAATTTTTAGGTTTTTCCTGATCGTGATCTTTATATTTCTAGCATACTACGGTTATCCTTTCGTATACGTATTGATTGTCCGTAAACCTAAACTTTTTATATTTTACTTTTACTTTTCTAGTTATGTCTATACTAGGTGAAATATTTTATTTCTCTTTTAGTATACTGTCAGTTATACATTAAAATAATAGGAACAATTTCCACAAATATTGGACATTACAACAGATCACACCAACCCCAAACGATCGACTCGACCAAACACTACTAAGATAACCACCGCTGTTGGTCGACTACTGTCACCTCAGAAACCCAAATCAGAAACAACGTCCTCTTTTACCTGACATACGTCACAAAAACAATGGAAATACAGTGTGTTTGTTTGTTGGTGTTAAAAGCAACGTTCAACAACGTAAGCTATATCATGGTTAGATTTTGCTGGTTGAGGAAGCCAGAGTATCCGGAGGACTAACAATACTTATCAAGTAAGATCGGAGTCGAACCTACGTCGCCACGAGCGTTTCCACAGGCTTATTATCACTATTGATGATCTACTAAGATATCTCGGCAAAAGAGGCCCCTAACAAAAAGACATACAAGTAAAGACAAAAAAAAAAACAACAAACAATACAAGTCGACCAGATAGCCGGACTTGGTACAGACACAAAATGCGGAGGGGTTACAAAAATATTGTTTGTTAGTTTGTTGGTGTTTAACACAACTTTAAACAAAACTTGGCTATATCATGGCGGCCAGAATTTGTTGGTTGAGGAAGCCAGAGTATCATAAAGACTGAAAATACTTATCAAGTAAGATCGAAGACGAAGCTACCTCGCCACGAGCAGGGCTTGAACTCACAGACTCAGAGTTGACATGCTTATGCTCACTACTAAGATAACTCGGCCAGAGGTCCGCAACATATAGATAAACGAGGCTCCGTGTTGAAGACCGTAATTTGACCTATAATGGTTTACTTTTATAAATTTTGACTTGGATGGAGAGTTGTCTCATTGGCACTCATACCAAATCTTCTTATATCCAAGTACATGTAAAGACAAAAACAACAAATAAGTCATTGTTACCAAATAGCCGGACTTGGTTCAGGCACAAAATGTGGTGGGTTTAAACCAGGTTTATTTTTTGCATACACCTCTTACTCAGCATATTTAAACCAAAAGTCGTTAAAGTAAAGCCCTGCACGGTTCTACATGGAGGTAGCTGAGGTTACCACCTCTGTTGGTTGCCATTTGACGACATCTTTAACCTGACATAAACCCATTTAACCCACACAAACTAAATAATTATACTTACAATGGAAAGAGAGAGAATATATCCAAATAACATCTTCTCTATTGTGTAATTCCACTGACAAAACAATGCCAAATATAAGATGACAGAGTAAAGTGGAGTTGAACGTGCTATTTATACAATTTTGAATATGTACAAAGGAGTTTCTACTATGTTCTAGATGTAATGAAAATAAATACTTGTCCAATGACTTCAAACTCTACTTCCTTCCTGAAATGGTTAGCGTCAAAGAGCTTTGTCAAAAAGGCCCAAAAGAGGGGAAATTATGTGACAAATATGTGCCTTGATTATTTAGCTCTTATTTGTTTGTTATCTTTTATATTGAAATTTTAAAACGTTTAATTCGTTTATATAATATTATCATTTATAAATAAGTGCATTATTGTATCAAATGTACATATGATTCACCATGATTTGTGTCGAAGGTTCTCGTACTTAAACTTTTAACAACACAAAAATATATGTCAAGTGAAATATGAACTAAGAGGTTACGAATTTTACTAACATAATGAGGGAGGTAACCACTTACAGTATCAATGTACTGTTTGACTGTTTGACAATAAACGATATTTCAATTATCTTCTGGAATACTCATTCATAAGGGCATATTACGTAATAATATATGTATGTTAAACCACTGTCTGCGAAATTTGTTTTTATTGTCATTTCAATTATCTTCTGGAAATTTACTCATTCATAGGGGCATATTACGTAATGATATGCGTATGTTAAACCGCATTTGCGAAATTTGTTTTTATTTGTCATAGAAATTTCTAGATCGTTAACTTGATGAATGTGAATTCGAAAACAACTTTTGTTCCCAGTACATAACATTAAACTGTATGCCTGTCTCAACTTCAACGATTGACTTGGGTATAGAAAGATACTCATTTGGACATTCCCACCCCACCCAATTTGAAAAGGAGCTTTGGCTGTACGGGGTGTATAAAAACGCAGCCATGTTCGATCGAAATGGTGATGTACTAGCGAGTAGTCCAGTTTATAGGGGAAATTGTAGGAAAAGATGGCGTCTCCGTGAATCCAGAAATATTAGAATAGTAAACAATTTACCAAAACCAAATAGAAGAAAAGGAGCTTGAATCTTTTATTGGGTTTACAAATAACTATATTGACCATATGTAAGCTGAAATAGTAGGAACCTGAGCAAGGCAGGAATATGTCTGGTATGTCTATGTCGTTTTACTAACTTCAATGTAAGAAGACACGACTTTCATGAACATAAGCCCTGGTTCACTTTCATAAAAAATCTTAAGAGTAAAAATACTCGTAAGTCACACACATTTCAGTATAACTTTTTTTTTGAAAAGAGTCGCTGTCTTTCACTGTACAGATATAATACCTGAATAAAATTCTGTAAAACAACAGATTAACTGAAGATACTATATTAATGATATCTTTCCTTCATTTGCATGTTCTTTTTTACACATTTGTAAATTTTGGCTTTGTTGATTTATTAAGAAGATCTCATTACTTTAAAGGCTTTTGCAGATGCGTTGTTCCTTTATAAATGTACCATCCAAAGTATCATCAAGGTTACTGAATCTTAAAAAACTACAGCAAAAAGCCAACCGTGCTACAAGCTCTAGGATGAGGAGTCAGTGTACCAAATCGGATGTTTGATTGCAAGTTATGCATCTCCCTGTTGTTGGCCTACACATAGAGAGATGTTAGATCTCGGGAGATATACAAAAAATCGTACACCCACAAATAGTGAATAGGCGGGATATGCGTATTACCATTAAGAAAAGAAATAAAATGGATCTCAGATGTAGAAATGTTGATTTGCACAAAAAGAATGATGGAAGTAGGAAAAGGTGTCTTAGATTCATCTGATTAACCAAACAACAAAGAATGGAAGCAACAGGTACAGGTACATGTTTTCAAAGAACCACTGAATCTAGCAAATATGCAACACCTACCTGTTAGTATACACTGTAGATGATACAAATCATTAAAAGCAACGTGCTTAGAATGTTCACCCAGTGTACTAGATGATTTACATTGTTATTGTTTTAATGGAGACGATGGTGAAGAATTTTGAAGGTGTAAATCCAGATTTCCGAATGATAAATTTGGTATTGCTCCGTTCTTGTTCATGGATAACACATATCCATCTTATAGAGCTACACATAGAGCTACACATTGTGAACTATCTTCAGCTCCCGGAAAATACTGATCCAGAACTGTTAAATGATATAATGTGAAAACACGCAACTAGGTTCAATATTTTTTCAGAAGACATAGCCAAAACTACCATTAGGAACACTAAACAACGTTACAACATCGAATACATCCTTTATTGTGGAAACTTGACTGTATAAATGTTTTAAACATATTTTCTGAAACTTTCTTTGGTATAAACTTATAAAGTAATTCTTTTCAGTGATAGCTGGTGTTGGATTTTATTATTATTTTGTTATAATAATAGGAATGAATGACTGTCATTTTCATAAGCCGAGGAGGAATGTAAGTAAAGTTATGAAAGAATCACACCGGCACGTGATTAGATACCGGAACATAGACGATTTCCTTTTCAACAGCTTTACAAATGTAACGATGTGTTTTCGGAGTTCAGCTGATCCAGTTGTTTAGGATTCTAGTCCTTGGATATCTGTCGTTTCTGCGTATATTATACGAGATATAATTACTAGCTACATATCAATGTATATTTATTTACACTATCAATACAAAAAATACCAATGTTTTGTCCAATCAATGAAATGTTACAGTATTGATTCGTGGAAGTACATGTACTCATTCGTTTTACGACTCGTCAGAATAAACTAACACAGGTATATTAAAACAGAATTTACAGGAATGTTTTTATTCTAAATGACTCCAAGGATAATATAGTCGAATCATGGAAGTATCATATTGACCTCCATGGTCCGATGAATAAGTATCAATATCATTTTTGTGAAAATATTTTGTAGTTACCAAGTGCCAATCAGAAACCGTGTATCCATGTAAAAAACCACACAATAGCAAATAGAAAGAACATAAAAAGGATGAAAGCATTTTACAACAATAAGTGATAATAGCAATTGAATAGTTTAGCGTAAATGATATGTTAATATTTTAATTACAACGGTAACTGATAGCAAGTAATTTTGTGGTATCCGGAATTCGATGCTTTGTTTTTCGTATGCTCATGCACTGAATGTACTTCTCATATCCACATATGTCTAGTGTTTCTTACATTCAGGAAAAAAATCACCAATTTTCCTGTAGTAAATCTAATTCGACCATATTTTGTCTTCCTTGTTGCATTTGTGTATCTTTAAGGAAAATACAGATTAATACAAAACAACACTTCCTATGTCTGAAATTCAATACTCGTAAATGGATGTGAATTTATTGTTTAAATCATGACAAACGTTAGCATCTTAATTGGAAGGTTGGTTTCTTGAGTTGTCTAACTTACATCACAAAATAAGAATGTAAATAAGTTGACATGTGATGAGGATGGATTGATGTTTAACGTCAGGTGGCTAAATCTTTACACTTTTTCCTAAATGCCGCATGTTCAGCGGAGAAGCAGAACATACTTATTCAAGTTGTTGATTTGCACGGGAGCGGGGGTGGGTAGGGTGTCCCGCTCTCTCCCTATATAAAGGTATACACAGACATATTATTGGTCACTTTATGGAATGTCAAATATATCAATGGGGTGCAATTTCGCGGAGGTAATATAACAATGGGTAGACATTTATATGTTAATGGGTCATACATCTTTATCTTCTTTTAAGATGTCTGTAAAAACTGTGTGCTGTTGTTTTTGTCTAATAATATGAACGATCCAAAGTTTTTTACATCTAAAGATGTCATAGATTGTATTTCTGATAACTTGGAGGAAAATATTGCAATGGTTTATGATTTTCCTAAGAAATATATGAATGGTTAGGAATATTCGCAAACAAAATAAGAATGAAGGGGTTTAACCCCAGCCAGACGTCTGAACCCAGATTTGAATGTTGAGATACCTCCCTGGTTGTTAATTTGACGAAGCCTGGTATCGAAACTTGGATTTTAATGTTGCTTATATCATCTGATCATGATAATGTTTTGTACTAACAACAAATGTGACTAAATATTTTACTGTACTTGATGCAATTTGTGTTTGAAACCAATTGAAGAAAAATGTGCCCTATTAAATTGAAAAAATATATACCTCTTCGGTTTATACTTTTTCAGTTTAATAGGACAAATTTGTCTTCAATTGGTTTCAAACACAATTTTGTATTCACAACAAGTCTGGTACGTATTTTTTTTTTGTCGGTGTACAGACATCAGTACAATCGTAGATGACGTCACCTCAATAAATATGATATTTCATGATATTTCAACATTTGAACGGTCAGTGCATCTTTAAAGAAATATACACAATTTCTACAGTTAATTACAAAATGAAATTCAAGAATCATTAAAAAATACTTCCCGAGGTAACGGACTAGAAAGAAAGAAGTTGCGTTTTGCGGGAACGATGTTGCAGTTTTCAGACGTTATCTCATCATCTCCCGCAACTAACTATGATCTGTGTTTACGTTTCCTATATTCAATACTCTAACAGTGGACATTTGGAGAATAATAACCTGAATAATTCAGTCGTTATATTCCGCTGAGCTACGATGGCTACATTAACACCTGAAGGCCTTGTCCATGGAAAATCGTCAATTAATCATTCGGAATTAGCTTGGGACATACTTTTTAGCTGATTGGCTTTTTCACCCAGAGAGCACCGATTCGCGACGCGTTTTTGTCGTATAAAGAGTTCAGGCCCTCGCGAGTGGGAGAATCGATCACGGGGAGGGACTGAATTATTCGGGTTACTGAGGAGAATGTTTTCATTCACTGTGTGCCGGTCTAGTACAAAACAGGATACATTCATATCACATTAACTTGTGTAGTCATCCTGAAAATGCGTGTGATACTTACCACTGGACGTTAAGCACATACCTATCCATCGGAAGCATTTGACATTTTTATTAATATGTCACCGATTTGTTATTAATACCAAAAACGGTAGCAAACATTCAGATAGTTATGCATCAATTTTTGCTATTGGTTTCTCAAGGTGGCTATATACAATTAAAAATTATGTTTGTTGGTTGGCGAGAACACTACATTAGTAAGATTTTATATTCTGGTATAGAACAATGCCATGCTTTTCCCAGACTGTCTTTACAGT